CCGCCGGGTGTCTGGACCCCGGAGCCCGGAGTGGCCTCCAGCCCGTCCCGTGGGGTGCCGCCAGTGCACCAGCCAATCTACGTCGTCGGATGCGGGCTGTACCCAGGGTGGGGTTCGGGGCGAGAGGGGAGGGGGCGCCTCCCCACCCCAGGCTTGGCGCCAGAGTGAGATCACTGTGTTTATTGAAGGAGCCAGCCCTGGTCTTTGATAAACTATCGCGCCTCAGCCCTGGTTTATTCCTCCTGTGCGGGGGTGGGGTGGGGTGGGGGAAGAGAATTATTTATGTCCCCCCTTACTGGGTGTGATATCAGCCGTGGCTATTACCGAGGCTAGTTCATCACCATAAAATAAGCGTTTCTCAGGTCAGGGGTCTGCGTGGTGTCTCCTGTGGGTTCAGAGAGACGGGGGTGGGGGGTGGGGGGAGGGAGATTCTGGAGCTGAGATATACAGCTCATGGAGTATGTAAACATACATGGAAAGATGGGAGTGTTTGTGGGCATCATTTGATCAAATATACCGGGTTCAAGCTGTATTATGCAATGGGCACTGCGGGGAAGCACGTGTGTTCTATACGTGTGCTCACTAATGTTTACATATGCATGTTTACAATCTTACCCAGCCAGCAGTATGTAAACACACGTTGCCATTCCAGCCCCACAGCAGGAAAGGTTAACCAGGGAGACGGAGAGAAAAGCAACCCCCGTGGGGGCAGCCTTTCCTTTGTATCAGAGCTCCTGCTTTACCCGGTTAGGGGTGGGGAGGGCCTTCCTTCCGTTAAGACAGCCTTTGGATTGTATTTTTGTACTTGTGATTGCACAGCTCGGGACTGAATCATCTTAATAACATACCCCCGGATGCAAATGTATGGAAATCGTGCCCCACACGGGTTTTTATGTGGAGCCCAGCTCTGGCACGGTGGCCGTTCCCGGGTTGGTTTTTAGTGGCGCGGCTACATGCACATATATTATAGTAATTACTTTCTGGGTGCCCTCTGTAAGGTGGCAGAAATAAGCGCCACGTCGCCCCATGTTATGTGTGAGGCACAAAGCCACGGGGTAAGATAATCAAAGGCTTCTGAGAACGGTTTGTGCTGATTAATAAACTGTTTATGGTACTTTGTGTCGGGGGGAGATTGTGACATATTTTAGAGCCACCCATATGGAATAGAAAATACCACATTGTTATGGGAGGCCCTTCATCAGCTTGAGAGAGATTGCTGGGGAGTTTCGTGATGGCTGAAAGCCTGGTAGATGGGGAAACAGAAAGAGGAAGTGGGAGGGGGAGGTTTAGGATTTTTGAAGAGGGAGAGGCCCAGGTCGGGGAATTTCAGTAGCAAATGTGGATTGTTCTGGATCTAGCATTAACTTGTAGTTGTTTATTTTACATATAAGAGAATAGCTAAATGATGGAGTGTATTAGTTCTTTAATAATTTATAGAAATACTTTGATGTTGCAGTAATTACATTAAAGGTCACATATCAAAGGTAATTTGGTTGAGCAGCTGTGATGGTTTCTCAGAAGCAATCAATACCACTGTCCGTGGTGCTGATTTCACTAAGGGGCCTGCCAGATTAAAGAAGGCTTATTACCAGGCAGAAAGGCCCAGGGGAAATCAGGAGCACATTGGAGCGACGCGCCGGCCCCCCTTCCACCGATAATTAACACTGTTCCCCATAATCTGTGCTAATCCTTCATACTGGGAGATCCAGTGGCATTTTTCTGAAATCACAAAGACGAGTTGGGCAAGTTTTGAAGAAAGGACAGAAAGAAAATGTGAATGTATTTGGGGAGGTGGGAGGGCTGAGGAGAGAGTCCAACAGCAGAGCTAAAACAGAGCCTAGAGTCCCCTTGAGGTGCCTGGAATGCTGTCCTTTCTTCAAAGGCCTCACAGGGAGACTCATAGCCTCAAAGACCTCATCACAATTCTCAGGGCTGGCACAGCCCACAGGGGGAGAGGCCGGGAGGAAAGACAGGATTGCAGCTCGAACTTCCCAGGGCACATAGTCCCTGTACAAACTCACATGGAGGCAAATGAAAATAAAATGACCAAAAAAAATTATGCTTTAAGGTGGAGCCATTTGGATTCCAGAAAGCAGAGCTGGTGTTATTATTGTTGGTTGGTTCTCTCCTTTAAGATCAGAGAATGTGTGCCACTAGCAAATGCAGGGACAGGACCAAGCAAAATACCCTCGCCCAAAGAAATAATGGGTGTCCCTGTCAGCTGGGGCTGGGGCAGAAAGAGACCTCTTCTGGTCTGTGGTGACTACAGTAGGTGCCCCAGTGAGCTCACTCTATGTCTGACTGAAGAGAAAGAAATGGAAAAAAAGAACCTGGAAAACTGGTAACCTCAGCAATTTAGGCACTTTTCCAGACTTCAAAATCCATTAAAGTCAATCCATTAAAACCAGCCCTCCACTTTCTCACTGAGAAGAGAAGGAGGGGAGAAGGTAGTGCAGGCAGCCCATTCTGTTTCTTTCCCAGCAAGTTACAGAGCTAGCATCCTGTTGGCAGCAGGGAAAACAACCCCATTGTTGTCATGCACAGACACACAACCACAACCAAAACAACAACAAAGACAGAACTAGAGGCACCCCTCACATGTGTTCTTATTTGGGGACGGAGAGGAGCTGACATCTCTCTTGGGATCAGTGGGAGCTCAGAAACCAGACCACAGTGTCTGTTCTTACCATTCAGAGATCAGCATACCTGACGTCATTATTCAGAACCAGCCTAACCAAAGGATGGCTGATGGAGCCATCCCTGGACCAGTGTCACAAATGGATTCTCACTTTTTGAGTTGCCATGACTTCAGGAGAATGAAATTACTAAACCACAGACCCTCATCAGGCTCCTTGTGCTCAGTGTTTTCTGTCAGCATCTAGGCTGATTCCACTCTCCGTCTTTCTCTCTCCCTCACACTCTCCATCTCACTTTCCTGGCCCCCTGCCTCTCCAGCCCACCCTCTTCTATTCCCAATGTTTGTTCCACTATTTATGGGGCACAGTCAGCATGGGGCAGTTTCTCAATCCATCAACAAGTATTTTCTCAGTGTGTGCTGAGCGCTGTGCTTGGAGACCTGGCGGACACAGAGATTAGAAAAATGTATCCCCACCCCTCTTAGAGATATCCAAGTTGCAGACAGAAGCCACACACAGAAGCACGCGCACAGAGAGAGAGAGAGAAAGAGAGAGAGAGAGAGAGAGAAAGAAAGAGAGAGAAATGTCATCAGTGATATCAGATAGCACGTTGCTATAATATAGGTAGTGTGGACAATTGCTCAATAATAATAACACATATTTATTAAGCACTTACTATCTGACAGGCATGATGCAAGCATGTTATCTCCATTATCTCATTTTATCATGATTATCCCTGTACATGAGGACACCCAGGAATAGAGAGGTTCAACAATATGCCCAAGGTCACACAATTCATAAGTTGCCAAGCCAGACCCAATCCTAGATCCACTAGGAAAGCCCAGGATACCCACTTCTCTTTTCTAGGGCCACAGTTGCTTTAGAGAGGACACAGATGACTATCGGGTGCAGGAGTTCCCCAAAGGTTTTGTTCCAGATGTTGGCAAGGTAGGCATAGAGAGTTGGGAGGAAGATGGGTATGTCAGTGGGGGGCACTGTTCTGAGAACCAGCCTAGACACAAGGAACACATGACAGGTCAGAAGCTGTGAGCTGGGCAGATATCCGCTGAGAGCTCCCTGGGGCTGAGCATGCACAGGGAGCCTTTTGGAAGAATTCTGTTCCTTAAAAAGGTCCCTACTGCTTTGTCCCAGCTCCCCCTGCCTCTGGGACTTTGCAGGGAATTTCTTCCAGGAAGAGCTCATCTGTTTCCAAAGTTAGGAGTGTAGGGCCTCACGGGAGAAATTCTGATGAGAGAAAAGCAGGGGACATGACCAGCGGTGGCTGGCACTCTGCTCCTCTAGCAGCAAAGGGCTCCTCACCAGGGCTGCTGGGGGAAGAGCTGGGTCCAGTTAGCAGGAGGCCTGGAAGCAGAGCCAAGAGGGAGCTGGCAGAGGAGAAGGGAGGAGAGGAAGCCGGCAGGGGGAGAGGGTGGGGAGAGTGGGAGCTGGATCTGCTTGGTAAACATTAAAGTTCCAATTCACTAGCTAAAGATTGGCTTCTGTGCCCTCACTCTGGCAACCTGAGAATACAAAGCAAACCTGCACGCTCCTCTGGGCCATCTCCCACCCCCACCCCCCACCCCTGGCTCAGCCCAGTAGACATGCAGCATCGCTGCCATCACACCTCCTGACTCATGTCGCTCCAACTCAGGGCGGGTCATTTCCATGGAAATTCAATGTGACCTTCTTTGAGTTTACCAGGAAAGATGTGAAAATGGGAAAATTATATATTTTTTAAGTTCAATTGAATTTCTGGCATCATTGTGTCAGGATGGTCTCCTGTCTTTCGCCCTTCTCCTCTCACTTTCATTTTCCTGAGTCCCATTTTGTCTTCCTTTCTTTGTCTTTTTTTCTCTTTTTTCTTTATGCCTCTTTTTTCTCCCTTCTTGTCATTTTTTCTTCTGCTTTACCCCTCTCCTTTCTACCTTTTCTTCTTTTCTCCTTTTCATTTGCCTT